TTATAGATTGAAGGTTTATTTTTCTTCACCAGGATAATATTTTTCTTTTAGAACAATTAAAACTCATTTAAAACTATAAATTATGAACACAAACAATGGGGAAAACGTTCTGTGAGCTAACAACGAATTCCAATTTAATTTGATGATCAAACTCAAATCAATCCCTAATTCACATCGAATCTAGTTGAGAGCCTCCCGCATCGATGGAGCTTTGATTATAATTCGTAAATCTTATTTCATACCACGATAACATATATCAAAATTTGATAATTTTGTATTTCTTTTTCGAAATTTCAATAGTTTATATAATTAATAAAACAAACATTAATTTAGATATTATCTAAATTGATTTGCCTAACAAATTAACTTATGCTTAAAACAAATAATGAAAAATTAGAAACCTTGATTATGATCATCATTATGATCTCTATTAAGCCTATTAAGCAAAGCATCAATGAGAGAATCTCTCTTCTGAGCCCTAGCTTCTTCTCTCAGGCGTCTCTCTTCCTCTCTCTCCATCCACCTCCTCTCGGCCGCGGCTCTCTCCTCCTCTAGCTCCGCCATTCTTCTCCGCCACTCTTTCTCTCTCTTCTCCCTCTCTATCTCCTTCATCTCCCATGCATCTCTCCATTCCTTCTCCATCTTCACTGTTTGCCTCATAAAATCCTCCAATATATCTTTTAATGTATTACCCGCCGTTTCAGCTTTCATACCACTTGCAACGCCTTTTCCTTTTTTCGCACGTTTTCTTGGATTGGTCGAAGTACTAGTAGTAATCACTTCTGTCTCTTTCTTTTGTGTCTCTACTAAAGACAATAATTCCTCGTTGATGTCTTCATTTGGCTCGTCAACTTCTTCTTCTTCTTCTTCATCAGATGAAAATTGATGATGCTTTCTCTTGGAGGAAGTGCTTGGTTCTGTGGCTTCTGACCACAACATTCTTTGCATTCTTCCTGCGAAAATCGACTGAATCTCATTGTAGAATGGGAACTGCTGCCTAATAGCATCTGGCTCAGAGGTCTCACACGCCTGTCTCATGAATATTCAATATGTTATATATATAGCTCCTACACAAGTATTTGTATGTATATTCATCATGTAAACATGTAATAGTATTAGCCTACGCTAAATATTCTTAGCTAACCAAGTATCTTAATTAACTCGAAATCATAATATCGTATAAACACGTTCATCTATCATATATATAATAAGAAAACAAAAATATGTTCATCTATATCACGTTTCTTTTAGCTTAAAATAAATGTATGTATAGACGTTTTCAACTATCTTCATGTGTTTATCAGTAACGGTTCTTATTAAATCTTCTGCACCGGTTATATAACGGTAATTCATATTTTGTGGCGTATTGTGAACACGATATATATGCTGCTTACTTACCATGTGATTAACGAACAAAAAGAGATATTATGGTATATATGTTACTTACTTACCATGTCATTAACGAACAAAAAGAGATATTATGGTATAACGGATCAAAATGTGAACATAGGCAATATCATGATGAAATCTCACCAATAAACGCGTAAATTTTTATTCTCTAGCTCGTTACCATTAATGGCAGGACAATATCTAAAAAACCTAGGAGATTAGGTTAAGCTCATTAATTGATGTGTATATAATATAGTTTCACCTATACATACACCATAAACTAGGTTTCCAGTTCAGTATGCATACTTTCAGTCTAACAACGCAAACTAGTGATGGAATACATACACATAATTATAGTTAAACAATATAAAATGCTATACTAATAATGATGGATTTACTTGTAATTATCATGATCATACAAAAACATATATAGGTGAATATATAGAGACTATATAGACAATAAATAGTTGAAGGTAACCTTGTATCTGGTGACGAGGTTCTTCCACTTGCTCTTACATTGTTCTGCGCTCCGGACAAAACCCTTGTCGGCCATCTTAGCAGCCACGACTTCCCAAAGAAGCTTATTACGTTTGGTCTCCATGAAAGTCTGATCAAGTTCTTCTCTTATAGCCAAAAGCTCCTTTGTCTCCTCTATGCTCCACTGTGGGATTCTCTGATCACCTCCTCCGCCGGGATCCATCGCCGCCGTCGTGCTTTGCGGCGGCGGAAGCTGTTGCTGTTGGATCAAGTGATGATGAAGCTGATGGTGGTGGTGGTGATGTTGGAAAGGATTACGTCGATCCATTGTTGGAATCGAATTGTCTTTGTGACGTAAAGAGAAATAAGAGGGAGATTAAAAAAAAAAATTTGTTGGGTTACTTAATTATAAATGAAGAGAGGTTTCATTGAAAAAAAGAAGAGAAGACAGAGGAGGATAGAAAAGAGAGAATTTAATTAATTTATAAGGAGGTGTGAAAAGAAGGTGTGAAATCGTCAAGGGACGATAGAAGTGTAGTTTTTTTGTTTTTTTCTCTAATTAAATAATTAAGATGAGGTTTTTTAAAAATTATTGAATATACTAGAAGGTATAAAATTATTTAGTTGAATAAAATACGAACACGAATGACTCTTTTGGTGAAAAAGACACATTTCGTGATTACATTAGAAAATAATAAAGTTTAGAGGATGATAAAGTCTAGATTTAAAGCAGCTAACTAAATAAATCACACTTTTTTCGTACTCTAGAGTTTTGAGATACTGAAAATAAATATATAAAATTATCTTAACTGGAAAATAAAAATCTCAAACAGTTATATGGGTCATTTTTCAAAAAAAAAAAAAACAATTATCGGGGTAACTTGCATCAATTAAATATATAAAAATATCTTATCTAAAAAATCGACTTAATTATAAAAAAATCGAATTACAATTTTTTTTACAAATTGATTATTTATTTGCATCATTCTAACTTCTAAGATGATAGATTTTTTGGCCAAGCAAAGGCTCAACTCAACGGTCTCATAATTATTGTATTGGTAGTTAATAATTTTGTCCCAATACATACAACTTTGCGTTAATATTTCGTCACGCTTACGAGTTACGAGTCACAATCTGATTTTTATTTTTCAATTCTTTTTTCCCCTTATCAAGCCTCGAAATTGAATAATAATTTCTGGATTTTATGGTCAATTGACCCACTAGATTTTCCTCTTTCCATAATTTCTCGTATTTTTCTTTCTGAATATTTTATTTTTTTTAAAATCATCTTAAAAAGGTAACCTAATCCTAATGGTTGACAGAAAAAATATTAAAAAGCTATTGGATCAATATACTTTTTAAGAAGTTAGATCAGCCCAATGTCATAGCTTATAATTAAAAAAATAGTTTCATTGCTCGTTACAGAAGCGTTCCTTGTTGTTAATTATATATTAAGTTTAGTACACATATAACGTTCCTATCAAAATTAAAAAAAGAAGAAGCATTTACTGAAAACAAGACCATTCATTATATGAATTATGATATTAGCTAAATGAATATCTACGAAGATCGTTATATTCGCAGTCGGCACAAAACAAATAATGCGTACGAACAGAGAAAATGTACTCTTCTTGTCAAATGTTTGGATCCAGTGCAATATACAACTGTCAGATTCCCAAAATGTGGTAGTACGTATTTAGAAGCCGCGTCATTGCAATGATATAACAAGTAAATGGTACGGTGAATGGAAACTTTGTAGTAGTAAATTTTATTTGTATCTAAAGAAAGATTCGTCGGGGTTGTATTTTTGGCTCTGATATGTGTAAGTAGTAGTATTAATAAAAAAAAAAAAAAAAAAGTCAGCGTAGTGGTCCAAATTGCGATGAAGCGTGTTGAAAGTAGTAAATCAAAATCTTACATGACATGCACTAGACTTCGCTCCCACCTGTCATCCCACGTGGATTCACACCTTGTTTATTTATACTGAATTAATAGTGTCGACTACTCTAGTGATTGAATCTATAATTTTTCTATTTCTTTGTTCAAAATTTGTGGTCATATTTAAAAGAGAAATTGTGAATGAAATTTTAACATTGTGAGAAAGAAACTGTGAACAAAGGAAAAATTTTCGTCCCAAAAAAAAAAAAAGGAAGAATAATCAATATTTTTTAATTTTATTTAAATGGAATCATATTAGCAGCAACGCGGAGTCCTATTATATTCCACGTGTAAACGCCCACCATATTTGTCGACGTGGACATCTATCTCTCAATATATTTCACTTTTTAAAAGTGTTTTTTTAATTGCTGATGTTTATCCGCTCATACGGCAATTTTGAGAACGAATAGAATTACGCCACCTCATCATCATTTTTCCTAAATTTTTTATTTTTTGCTTAAAGGCTTAAACAAATCAGCCCATTCGTGATTTCGTGTTATTTAGAATTTTTTAGGTGAATGTCGTTAGGGTATCGCTCCGGATTATTCGGAACTGACTGTTAAAAATAAGTTTTACTTTTGCCGTAACTTACACATGCACATGACTTCCATTTTTGAATTTGGAGTATACACTACAACAATACATTGATACAAATACCAAAACCTTACTCGCTATTTGTAATACTGGCTTTGATCAAAGACCATGAAAATGGTTGGTGATATTTCACTTGATTGCAGAAAATCTTCTTGTTCTTGAAAACATTAAAATCTTTAAACTAAACTCAGTGTATAGTTTTGAATCTCTAAATCACACTAATTTATGAATGAATATAACTAATTTGTACGTGGAGATATGCAAGTAATTTACCTCGCCAGAAAAATCAAAGAGGAGCATACTTATTCTGTTTTTTTTTCCTTCTTCTTCTTATTCTATGTCAACATCAGCACGTGAGGGTTGAAAATATTTTTATCAAGGAATTAAACGGGACAAGGTCAAGATTGAAGAAGGTGAGAAAAACGTAGAGATTGGATTTTTTTTAATCAACAAAGAAAAAGGTTCTTCAAATTTCGCTACTATGATTAATCAATTTGACTTGCATTTTGACAAATTGTTAACGTTGATTTAGTCTTTCAAAATCTGTTGACAATGTTTACTATTAAACTAAATATTGAAGCTTTAGCAAAGAGACAACGGTATTAAGGAGAAACTTACTTCACTAGTCGTCAGTCATCACTAAGTAAACGGCATCGTTTCACAATTCCCTTAAAAAACTTTACCAAAATGCAACAAAAAATAAATAAAAAACCCATAAGCACATATTCAGCTTCTAAAAGATTCCAAAAAAGCTAGCAGATTGATACAAAAAAAAAAAAAAAAAACTGAAACGAGATGCTTCAATCTTGGACATTCAAGGTGATAACATCCGCTTGATCCCTGATTTCTGCTCAGTGGTTAGCTTCGAAGGGAACTTGATGCTGAATCTGATTCTCAAGTTTCCTTTTCTTGACGGATCTTTAGGGATCGGCATGCCTTCGCCTTTAACCACCTCTTCGTACGACGGACTGATCACATTGTTTACCGGAACTGTTATGGTTCTTCCGTCAAGAGTAGTGACCTGTGCGGTGTAACCTGTGAGAGCTTCCACTAGAGATATCTTTTGCATCACCACAAGATCATTCCCGTCTCGTTTGAAAACGGGATGCGGTTTCTCGTCTACGATGAAAACGAGATCGGATGGAATGACCCCACGATGCTCGTTACCTTTTTCCAGGAAGGTTATCTTTGTTCCTTTTTTCCAACCGGGTTTGATTTCTATAGTCAAAATCTCCTCAACCGGTGTTGGCCTCCTGCATTGAAGCATAAACAGAGGTTTTACTCAGCGGAAGAACATAGAAAATATAAATTCAGTAACGTCTTCATACTCATGGTGCTGGAAATTACAAAAGTACGAACGAATTTGTTCTTGGACTCGCTCGATATTTGAGATTGCGGAAAGTAGATATTCAAGAGAGCTTAAGCAGACTCTCTAACAAGGATTAGGATCAATCAGATTGAAGAAAAGAGACACCAGTACAATTTGCAGAGAGATTTCCGGTTTCATGAAAAAACAGATGAAGAGAAATATATTAAGCTAAAATCCATAACGAAACTGGTTAACTAGGTCAAGTAATGTCCTGGTTCGCTATAGCTATGGGTTCCTACATTTACATCTATCATTTTAAGTGTCGATAGAGAGCTCAAATACTGAATAAAGGTCACAGAGATCACAAGCTTAGATGCAAACCAAAACATGTTCAAATAAGATGACTCTATAGACTATTATAGCTTTCATAGACTAAAGATTTGGAACCCAAAACAATCAAGAGAGAGTTTAAACTGTCCCTAATCCGAATATAACTACTAAAAGCCACTAAATTCATAAATGGAAAACAAACCCGGTAGAGTCAAGAACATCACGAGAGATCTTCATCTTCTTGGAGACTCCTTTATACAAATCCTCCAAGCTACAAGGCAATTGTCTCTCAATAGGAGCAGATTTCCTTGCAGGAATGGAGGCTTCTCCTCCGGTAGTGGCAGCCCTGAAGGAAGCGAAGATGTCATCGCCATACCTAAAAGAAGGTCCAGCGCGTGAGTCGCTTCCCGTACCAAAAGAAGGCCTTGTGAAACCAAAGAACTCGGAGAAGATGTCATCAGCGCTTCTGGGATTGAACCGGAAAGAAGCTCCGGCGTCTGATCCTCCAGGATAACCACCGGCGCCGGGAGGTGGGGCCGCTTGGTTTAAACCTTCTTCTCCGTATTGCTCGTAGATTGCTCGTTTCTGAGGATCACTCAATACCTAAATCACAAGGAAACTGCATGATTGCTAAAAAAAAGATGGAATTTTGAAAACGAAAAAGTGAAATAGAAAGAGGGAATTGAAGATACATCGTAAGCTTCAGAGATCTGCTTGAATTTAGCTTCGGCTTGTTTTTTGTTGTTAGGGTTCTTATCAGGATGCCATTTCATGGCGAGTTTGCGATAAGCTTTCTTAAGCTCGTCGTCATTAGCACTTCGATCAACTTCAAGAACCTTATAGAAATCAACCCCCATCTGGATTTTATCTCTCTCTCTCACTCAATCTTCTTCTTCTTCACTGGATTTTATTTTATTTAGGGGTCGACGACTCTCTTCGACTTGTTATTATTTTCATTTTCTTCCGGGATTCACATTTTAACCGAACTGAACCGATCCAAAATTGAATTTAATACACTAACCGTTTGTGATTTTAACCGGTAAACTCAGAATTTTTGTTTTCGTTTATTTTCTGCCCAAGAAATAGTGTTTAAAATTTAATGGGCTGGCTGCTTGGTTAAGACTTTGGGTACGCAAACATTTTTTATAAGAAAATTTAAAGCAAAATCAAACTTTTATTAAAGTCTTAACACTAGAAAATAATTTAAGCAACAACAACACAATCGCTACTCTATAAAGAAATCTCTAACTAAATTCTACAAAATTCATTTGGGAAAATATTATAATACACCGAACGAAGATTTCCTGTCCTGATTCATTTGCTTCATTCACTCTTCTTCTCCCACAGAGAAGTAGCAGCAGCCTGAATCTCAAAGAATCTCTCCTTTTCTCTCAAGTCACAGAATGTCACACTCACTCTTCTTCTTCATCTTCTTCAGAAGATTCTTTTGATTTCTCAATTTCTGTCACCTCGTTTCCCGAGGTTGCTGTGTCGTCTATCTTCTCATCATCATCATCATCACCATCACCCTGTGTCTGGCTTGACGCTTGAGGATCTGATGTCTGAGTATGGCTCGTTGGTGCTGGAACACTCGAGTCTGACACTTGAGGGGTCTGACTCATTTCAGACTGGCCAGTACCAATAGGACTGCTTTGTGACTGACCCATTTCAGACCGTCCCGCACCTATGGGACTGCTCTGAGACTCACTCATTTCAGATCGTCCCATATCTATGGGACTGTTCTGAGGCTGACTCATTTCAGGACGGCCCGTATCTATGGGACTGTTCTGAGGCTGACTCATTTCAGACCGGCCCGTATCCATGGGACTGTTCTGAGACTGACTCATTTCAGGCAGGCCAGGACCTATGGGATTGCTTTGAGACTGACTGGCAACTACCTGACTGGGTTCCTGGTGATCTACTTGAGAGTCACTCAATGGCACATAAACTTGCTGAGACTGGCTCGTTTGCTGTGACTCGCTTGCTTGCTGTTGCTCCTGTTCCTGACTCGTTTGTGTCTCATTCGCTTGCACTTGGCTCGTTTGTGTTCCTTGAGAATCAGGGACAAGTCCAAGAACAGCCAATGTAGACCTACCAACAAAAATGTTTCATATCTCCGTGATCAGCAAATGGATTTCAAATAGCTGAACTTGTTTATTTAGAACTGAATTCATGGAAACTTGAAAGAGGAAAGGTCACCTTGGAAGTGAAGACTGAATCTCAGGCTGGCTGGCATGTGCGGTTAGCGGAGCTCTTAAGGCCGGGATTTTAGTCAATGCATTTCCCAGTTGAGGTGGAGGAAGCTGAATGAAAGGAATGTCAGAGATAAAACCCCCCAATTGTGGAAGACACGATTAAACAAGGGTCACAGTTTCAACACTGCTTTTCGATCGATGAGTACAGGTCATTTGACAACTGTGGAAGAGATTTAATAATCGCACCTGTAGTAAGACCTTGTATGATTGAGGCTGTGTTGTCTGTGTACATTTCAAAAACCCAACCCACAGTTTCGGATTTTTCCATATCTGAGGCATACATATAGAGAGAGCCACAGTTTTATTTCCAACACACAGTCAATCATAAGAATGGACAATAGAGAGAGCATAACGTTTCAAGACCATTACAGACCTGTTTGCTAACGAGACGAGAAAGGATCTTCAGGATGAAGTCCGACTATTAGAATATCGAGTTAAAGAGATTATTCAGAGAATATTCAATTGGGATTGAAAAAAGAGAAGTGATAAGTTTGTTACCAGAGCTGGAAAAGCACCGATAGCTTGTAAAACTGTACGCATGAATAACATTGGCAGTGGAATTTGCTGGACCTGCAGCCAAAAACTCACCAATGAGAAAAAATGTCCGGAAAGAAAAGAAATCAAAACATGAATAGGAGAACAACTCGGTAAGATGGAGATTGTTATATACCAGTTGATTCAGAACGCCGGCTAAAACCTGTTGAGTGAATGTCTGCCTCTGTGCAAAACAGGTATTGCATGCATCTGTGACCTGATAAGAGCATTAACAAATAAGATTTAGGGAAGCAACCTCGGTGTTGATGGTAAAACAGGTGGCGGAGATCTCCTAATTGTTCATCAAAGCTATATTCTTTGTGTATTAATAAGGAAATGGTCGAGATATACCTGTTTAAGTGGTATTCCATCTCTTGCTGGGTCAATGCTATGGATAGCAATTAAAACTTCAGATGGAGAAAGCACTGGGCCAGACTGAGATGATCCCTAAGAACCAAATTCCAGAGTGAGCAGATCAAACTTAACTCAAAAGCCAGAGGTAAGAAATGAATAAGATACCTGCAGCACACGAGAGAGTGCAACTTGAAATTTCTCCATAGGAAGATTCACCATATGGGGAAAAATACGTAGAACCTGATCGAGAGACAAGTTTAGAAAATAAGAAAACTATAACCCAATGAGTCAATAGAAGGGAAAAATGTAGGAAAGAATTTACATTGTCTCTAGGCAGGAATGGCAAAATTGGGAAAAGAATTTCTACATCCTGTAGTCCCATAAAAAGTTCAAACCCAAGAAAAAATTAGAGAAGAATTAGCTTATAGTTATGCTATTAACGAGTTTTCAATAAACATTCCATCGTCTTCACCTTTATTCTTGTATCAAACAACTTTCGTATAGTAAGTATCAATTCTGAAGAAGGCGTGGGCCCCTCGGTGAGGGTTTGAAGAACCTGTCATAAAGGAAGAACAATAAGGAAATAGTAAAAGCACATACCACTATTTACAGTATAGAAGAAAGTGTTAAGAATGATAAAAACCTGCATTAGAAGGTTCTCACTCCCAGTTGGTGGGTCTGCTATAATTTTAAGAAGCTCAGAGGATGAGCCCATAGTACGAACTAGTATTGGGATTTGAAGATGAATAGCCTACACAAAATAAACAATGAGATAAACACCGGAGAAGAGGATATACTGATATTATAAAACTTCTTAACTCTGGGCTCCAGTCTTACCTGCTTAACAGGATCTGATGCATTCTTGTAAATACTGAACACATGAACAAAAAGGGAGTGCTTCTGCAAATCAAAGACACATAGAAGCTAAAAGTTTTAGCAAAATTATGCCACATGAAGGCTAGATTAATCATTAGTCGAAGAATGGTAAAAATTCCCAAGACCTTTGTACAGAGAGCAAAATAGAGTGACAAGCAGCGTTGAGCTTCAGTAACTGAAGTTGATGATGTTGCTTCGGAGGGCGTCTCCATACCCGTACCACTGATAACGTGCTGTGGTTTATTTGGTGGACTTTTCAGATCAAGATCCTTCTAAAAGAGAAACGAAAACTTCTGGTCACATATTTTTTATGCAGTGTTCATAGTAATCATAAAGCAAATATAAATGCATATACAACTACAAAAATAAATTGCTTTGGAATAAGCGAGCACCTTGTTACAATCATCAATCCGTGTTTCAGCATCTCCTCTCTCTGAAGAAATGCAACTTACGACGGAAAATAGCCTATCCTTTGCAAACTCCTCAATCTGTTGTGTAATGAATGATAAAGAATAGAGCTTGTTTGCCACCTGTAAAATGACCCACAATTATTGAAGTGGTAACACATCAGCGGAAGGATACATTAATTAAATCGCAGGTTTTACAGAAACATACCAGGCGGATTGCTTTCATGCGAATCTCTTCCAAATGATGAACAGCACTCTTTCAAAAGGAAAAAAAAAAGGAAATTTAGTGAGAGCCCCATAAACAAAAAGAAGAATATTACAGCCTTGACAATATGAAACTGTCAAATGCTGATAAGAGAAAATGAAAAAAGGGTCAGAAAAGGAAGGAGAAAGAACCACAAGCACAATGCTGGAATAAAAAAAAAAAACTGAAATGTTAATGATGAAATTAAAGCTGCACCAAAGAAAAGGGAATCGGCAAAGGGGTGAGATAGAAGGAACCTGCAAAGCTATATTCAGGCAGTCATTCCGGATTCCAGGTCTCATTAAAATCAGGCTCCAAACAGCACTGAGACCTTGAGTAACACGGTCTCCATATTGTAAATCCTTCTCAACTTCTTCACTACTTCCAGGACAGCAAAACGATTCCAACAGCTTCAGAACTGATTTTGGCAGATGTGGAGAATCTCCAAGCAATTTACTTAAAGATTTGTCAGATGGTGGAAAAGAATCTCTTAGTGCTTCAGCCTAAAAGGTAAAAATGTTTTCTGAGATTCCCTGGTGAAAAGTTGACTCAGATGCAAACAAAATTGAATGCTTACCACAGTCAGCAAGAAACTTTCATATGCCGATGCAGCAGTAGTTGAAGAGAAGAAATCTTGTTCAGCTTCTGCCTCCCCGTATAGCCTGTAAAGAACCCGCACAGTCAACTCATGTCCCTGAAAAAATAAGAAAGGATAAATCGTTAAATGACTTTTGAATCAATTAGGGATGTCATCCAACATTAGAGTAAGATATTCTAGAGTCGAGCCAGTTCGAAACCTATCAAATTAGAAAATATACTAGGATAGAAAGAGAAAGTCAGAAACTAAAATCACTATCTCTAGCAAAAGGATTTCATTACCAAAATTGGACCCTTTGATGCTACCAAAACAGTAAGCGTGTATCACAAATACATAGGAATCACTAATCTAATTGTTCAACCTTCAAGTCATGAATACAAATTCTCACCTCATGATTCAAATAATCTGAGAGAACGTGCTCCTGTAATATTTTCCAAGGGTCTAACTCTGAAGGAAACTGCAAAAAAAAAGAAGGCAAATGTATAGGTATAAAACAGGAAAGTATGGCACTCTGAAGGCAATTGTGAGACAGAATGCCGTCGTACTTCAAACAAACATCTTGCCAACTAGGATGCATTTGATAGCTATAAAACAGGAAAGTATAAACAGCCATAGAAATCAAACATAATACAGTGGTAACAAGGGCTCCTAATACCACAAAGGCTCTTAGAGTAGAGGCAAGTGAGGTAAGAATCATGCAGAGGCCGATATGTTCATATTTATCAAA